CGAAGAATGTTAAACTATTTACACCACTACTAGGTATTTGCTATAGGCAAGTACAAGGGCTCTGGACAAAGTCTGCAATATGGAGCCACTACTGTTGGTATTAGAATAGGTGCAGGGAATACAGATAGGTTGTACAAATAATACTGTTTGTTTATATGGAAGCTGTTGTGTAGGAAGAGAGGAAGTCGATAGGCTAGCACAGTGTTAGGTTGCTAGGTGACATTTCCTTTGTGAGATCACACATCAGTGTCACCTGCCTGATAACATGGTGAAGCTCTGTAGGAAGGGCTTTATTTGTGACTCAGCACAGAGGAAGGAAGAGCATTTGAGCATGTAGATGTCTGTGGAGTGTATGCAAGGCACCTGAATTACAGCTCTTTGATTATATATACAAACAAAAGGAAAGCAGGCCTTACACCGGATTCCGCTGGGGTGATTTAATGAAATTTGTACCACATCAATGGTGTCCCACCCTATGCTGCCCCCTCTGATGCATTTCACTAATCACAGGCTTAGTCGTAGAGAATTTCTTACGAGGACGTGCTCCCAGCAGCTCATTCTTTTTTTGAGCCGTGGAGGGGCGGTGCTTCTTTTGTGTGTTCTACTTTTAATTTCGTTGTTTTTTTCTTTATGGGATTGCCCCTTCATATTGAAGAAGTTAAGTGAAGCAGGGTGGTGACCTCTGGGAGTAGTAAACGGACTCAACCTTGTGTATGAGAGTGCCAGGACTTCCAGCATGGATTTTCCCTACTCCAGGCTGTTGCACACACTGATGCATGAATGAAATGTCCTACGATGTGTGCGTGTAAGTGGCACTGCACACATGGCTTGATGTAGTAAAGACACACTCCCCAGAACCAGTGAAATGTTACCTGACCTTTTTATAAAAGTGCTAGAATTCTGATCCTGCTAACCCCCTGCCGACTCAACCCCTTGACTTAAAGGAGAACTATGGGGTTAGGGCTTTTCCCCATAGTTCTCCTTAAGGTAACGGGAGGACACAAACTATCGTCCTCCCGTCACCCTAGGCTCAGTATACGAGACGCCGCAGTATACCGCGAACTGTTGCTCGCGGTATACTGAGACGCCGCAGCTGAAGCGGATCACGACAATTATGCTGGGATCCGCCCAGCTGGGTGACTGACAGCTGGTTCTGCTTATCTAGAGGCAGAGCCAGCTGTACCCGCCCCCTCACCTGTCCGTTTCACCAATCAGCGCTGGCGGATCGGGGAGGGGGGAATCCATCCCCTCCCCTGTCACGGCAGAGAGCCGTGACAGGATCGAGAGGTGAGCGAACGCCGGTATGTGTTCGCTCACCTCCCGATCTATTGAGCCGACCTGTGACAGTCTCATTGTCACAGGTCGGCTAGAACTATGAGGATGAGTGAAAAGCACTCGCCTCATACTTCTCCTTTTTAAGCATGACTTCTTTTCTGGGATAGAAAATTAGGGTAAATGTTCACATTGGGCCTAGACAGCAATAAAAACCTGACCGACTGTCTAGCTCTTTCCAAATATATCCAAAAGAACAAACATTTTGGTTTTAAAGCCCATTTGAATTCACAGATGTAGATATGCAGTTTGTATTGACATCATCAATTATCTTAGGCTTACCTCCACTGAAACAGCAGCTGTTAAGGAAGTCTAAATATGACTGTATAGTACAGCAGGTTCCAGAGTTAGACTGAGTTCACTTAGTAATGTAATACACTTACCACCTTCCCTACTCTGCAATACAAGTCTATGTGAGAAATCTTGTAATAAAGAGTGAAGCTGTTACTGAGCTCTGCCAGCGCAGAATACTGCAGTGTGAGGGCTGGAAGCCGCATTTTCAGTGAGAGAAAAAGGTATTTCAAGGCATTTCCTAGCAACAATTGCTCACAAATAATAACCCAGGGGTGCACAGGTCTATAAAGAGATCAGTCATGACATTTCAATTGGGGTTTGAGTTGGATTCACTTTAATGCAGTGTATTGACACACACAGGTTAGCAGTTTTTTTAGGCGTGGTAATCTGTGTTTGCGTTAGGGTAGCCTTTTAATTTGATTGTCCTGTCAGTACAACGCAATGCAAGTTATTATGCACTGGCATCTTTTTTTCAATGCCAAGCACCAAAACACCCAATTTATCAAAACTGGAGCAGACAAAATCTGGAGCAGCTTTGCATGGGAACCAATCAGCTTCTCTGTTTCATTTTCAAATCTTAACTGAACAAACTGAAGAGAGAAGCTGATTGGTTGTCATGCACAGCTGCTCCAGATTTTGTCTGCTCCAGTATTGATAAATTCCCCTCATAGAGTACTCCCACCTGTGCATTGTGGTGAACTAAATCTCATTGCATTGTGAATAGCAGCGTAATGCAACGCATATATACTGGTATGTTCACTTGAACTGTGGTGATGTACAGCAAACACACGTTTTACGATGAGTTGCCACAATTCTTAGGCACTAATAAAGCACGGTCCCCTTGCTATATCACGGCATACCTCCCAACTGCCCCTCATTTGGAGGGACTGTCCCTAATACGGAACCAGATCCCTCTGTCCCCCTTTTCTCCACAGTTCCCCCATTTTTGGTCTGATGTACAGATATATTTGAGAAGGTTCTATTTAACCACCAAAAGAATGTAAATAGGAACTGCACTGAAATGAAATTTTGAGACCGATACCAAAACCGAAAATAAAAAATTTGTCAGGATGAAATGGAAAATTGCGTTTTTTTCCCCCCAACCTTTTAAAAATAATTTTATTTTGATTTGTTTTTCTTTTTTTTTAACTTTACTGCTATGAACTCTAGGGAAATATTGGGGGTCTAAAGAGACCCCTGATATTTCCTTTTTAAGATAGAAAAAGAGATTGAGTCTTTTTCTGCAGCCCCAGCACTGAATGAACAGGAAGCCTCATACTGAGTGTTCATTTATAAATTGTGAATATAGTATGAGTTACTATGTACACAATCATGAATGAATAGGAAATTATGTAGATCACTTCCTATTCATTCATAACTGGTACATAGTAACTCACACTATGGGGTCTATTCACGAAGCTGCCGAAGGATCTAGCCGTACCTTCGGCTAGCTTCGGCCCCAGGACCCCTTCGGTTTAATAGAACTGAAGGGGTGGTGTACGGGCTATTCGCTATAGCCCTACAGCTCCCGAACGTGGCCAAGCGGCTCAGTCGAGCCGAACGCATATGCCTCGGCTCGGCTGAGCCACGCTGAAGAGTGAACAGAATAGCCGAACAGTGTTCGGCTCGCTTCACTTGGGGTCGGCTGTTCACTCGGCTGCCCTTGGCAGCTTAGTGAATAGACCTGTATGCCTAGTTATTAACAAACATTCAGCGATCAGCTGATCGCTGAATGTTTGTACTCCGCTCTCCACCCTAAATCAGCTGTCACATGAGGCAGGGCGGTAAGAAGGAGAGCTCCGCCTCCTGTTACATCACAGATCTCTCCTCTAATCACTGCTCTCTCTCCTGATACAGGAGGCCAAGCCGGGAGTAGATCTCGGCCTCCTGCAATGCTGACAGTGTTCTCCTCCCCCACTGCTCAGCATGCTGAAACCTTCTCCCTGCTGGGTACTGAGAAAATAATAGCACCCACAGCACGATCGGTTCACACCATGGTGACACCTGACCACGCGGCAATCTGTGCGGAATTGTGCACGATTGCCGCGCGGTGAGGTGTCGCCTAAGTGTGAACCCAGCCTAAATAGCTCATGTAAGTGAGGCTTTAAAGAGAAACTTTAGCCATATCTTAAAAATAACAATGGCACCTTTAGAAATATTCAGCAATGACAATCTACTAACAGATACTTATTGGTGATTGCAGGATTTGTACTCTTTGCATAGCTTGTTTTTCTTTTCCTCAGTCTTTTGACTCCAGCCATGCTTGGCCACCCTCCTTGCATTCTCGCCACTGCAGCTGACCCTCATCCTCCTGCCCCTACAACACACTTGCACATTAACCCCCACTCTGACAGCATGCAGAGAGAAAGGAGCTGGACGGTGAGACAAGTCGGCAGGCAGTGTCACAAATAGCAAGAGGAGGAGTGAGGAGCTCCCAAGAGTAAAATTGAGGCCACCCTGCATGCATTATGTTTTTCAATGGTGCTGGTGGACCAGCCACCAGCAATACTACGACCATTGACTCAGTGCAGCCATGCTTACCCGTGGTTGGGAACCACTGGCCAAGTTTTTATGTTTAATTGTAGGAGCTCATGAGAAGCAGTTTATATTTATGGCAAAATAAAGCCATTTTGCATAACCTATAATCATGTAGGCAATGCTAGATATGTCATTGCTATTTCTAGTTTAGGTGGGATGGAGTGTTGCTTCTGCAGTAAAGCTCACCTAGTTGTGTTCAGTGTCAAGAACCCCAGTGGTATCTTCTGCACAGTCCACGGCTCTCATTGTGTCTGGCAGATCAGTTAGTGACCCTGCCCCCCTTTGTCAAAATCCTTGCAGATAGTGTTCATGACATCCCGCCTAATCTGGCTGTCTATGAACAGATTGTAATCACATATCTGTAGGTGGCCCTCAAACCTCCTGCTTTTGGGGGTAAGCAAGCTATCAAGAAAATCTGTCTGGTTAGCTTTTTCCCCCTTTTCCAATAAGCAAAGGCCAGCTTCTTGCTTCAGCCTTCTCAATGCTTCATTGAAACTCATGTGCTTGGACTTGGCTGAGCCGAGTTTACAAGTAAATAGGGCACCGTGCCATGCTTTGAAAAGAGCTTGTCCTGAGTCAAATTTGTACTTACACAATTCACAGCTTTCTAAAATCTATGAGTAGCTAACTACAAAGAATTCAGAAAGAGTTTCTGGGTAGGCAAATGACATTATTAACTGACAAAAAAATATTTTTCTTTGGTGGCTGGAATTCCTCAGCGACATGCCTCATCACACACCAGAATTCAGAGCAGTCACATAATACGAAGGGAACCCTGCTGACCTTGTCTGTCCCCTTTATTTCAGTATGAATGGAGCCCTGAACATTTCCATTCTGCACAGATGCAGCTGTGTAATATTTATCAGTGTGCTGGCAAATACCATTATTTCCTAGGAGATTTCAGCAGCATGGTCTGTGCAGTTAAAGAGTAACCTTTCACGAGTATAACATAATATCCATTTTTCTCAGAAAACAAGGTTCTGAATATGTTAGGAACTATGGAACGTATTTAATGCCGGACAGATTAAATTTCTTCTGTAGTTCAAAAATCATTTGCATGCCTTTTAATATTAATGGGCTTGTAGTGAATGAAGCCATGCAGTATCAATGCTGCAGTATTAAAGTGACACCTAATGGCTAACAGTGGATATTGCATAATTAAACCTTTTACAGAAGACATGATCATTTGCCTTTATTGTTCGTTAAATATACACTGCTATTAAATTTAAACACAAACATTACATTTTATTAGACTTTCCATTGAAATGTGCATTGTTTACAGTGATGGTGTTCCATTTATAGATATAAGTGACAGTCTTTTAATGTCTGCTTTTTAACATTCTCTGTTATCAAGGAATACTCATGGTTCCCTATACGAAAGGTCTACCTTTTTGCAATCTCCCTGCTCCCCCAAGACAAATGACTTTAAAAAGCCATTAATGAATAAACGGATTGCTCAGTAAAAAGAAAAAAAATATTTATCTTGGCCCAGCATGTGAGGGCAGATGC